ACCGGACACAAGACCAGACACAAGACCAGACACAAGACCAGACACAAGACCAGTTGCAAGACCAGACACAAGACCAGACACAAGACCAGTCGCAAGACCAGACACAAGACCAGTCGCAAGTAACAGGGTGAACAATGATAAAGGAATGCTTTTGTTGCTGTTCAGTTGAATAGCTTGTGGCTTGAAATCAGACTAGGGTCTTGTGTGGTCTTGTGAGGGTGTTAAGTGATCTCGACTACAACACTGCTAAATACCCTTGATCTGAGTGCCTTGCCTGCATGCATGCACCCTCCAACTGTTGCCTCATATCCTAGTGTTGATTCATGACAATGACCTAGATACAACTAAACACCTCCAGATGGCCAGACAGGATTTCCTGTGCATTATCTAACTAAAACTCCCCTTGCTCATTGTAATCAACATATCATTTTATGAACAGATTGCTTTTAACAAGTAGATATGCGCAATTGTTGTGCCGATCTATAGCACAAGTCGCAATCTCAGATATGACCATGACATGGGTTACGTCATGTCCTTCTTACACAGATACATCGAGACATTCAATCCCTGTTAGCAGAGGATGCTAAGGAAAAGCAGTTCTATGTTAATTTGAGTATGGCTTCAAAACAGGAAGACACCAAAATGAAATGGGTGGCCATCTATGTTTACAAGTCTATTATTAATGGGGGAGGATTTGTATAAATTGCTTCACTTTGTCAGGAAATATCAGGGGGTAAGAGAGAGCTGGCCGGGAGGCACAGGTGCAGCCCCATGAAATGGTCAGCAGAGACTGGTCAGTTTTTCATCCTCACGGGTGGGGCTTTTAACAACCACAGATTGCATTTGGGTAACGGGGAGGCTCCAAGCTAAATACAAATGGAGAGAGCTGGCCAGGAGGCACAGGTGCAGCCCCATGAAATGGTCAGCAGAGACTGGTCAGTTTTTCATCCTCACGGGTGAAGCTTTTAACAACCACAGATTGCATTTGGGTAACGGGGAGGCTCCAAGCTAAATACAAATTCTGATAAGTGTCAAAAGAAAGGCCACTTTGCTCGAAAATGTGAGGAGATTTTGATAACAATTAAATGTGAATACTGAGAAAATGGTTTGCCACCTGTGATCTAATTACATGTAAGTAAATGATGGAGCCTGACACTACACAGTGATGCAAAGAGGATCCTGATCATACATGTAGTTTGGTTGACAATGTTTGAACTCATTGCATTTGGCATCCACATAGAAACACTATTTTACCACGAAGGGATATGTAAGAGATACCTTACCCCTCGCTTACGTTGTTCTTTCTTCCTCCCTCCTGCATTGTCAACATCCACTGCTCCTCGATTACGTTGGTTTCGTCTACCCCTATCCTGCCGATTTCCCCTAGGAGGTCTCTCGTGTTGTGGGTCAGCACCGTAGCGAGCAGGATCATCCAGAAAGCTATAGACTGACTTGGAGGGCGGATTGACTGTTCCAGCAGCTTTCTGCAGGGGAAAACATTGTGACATGACTGCATTCAGCATCAACTGAATCTAGGAATCAAGATGTGAACATTTCTACAAATTTAATATTGATTCAAATAGCAGCATCTCTAAAAGTTCAGAGCAAGGAAAAATTTGGTGACTGAAGAATTGTGATCTCTAAGCTAACTGCTCATTTAAAATACACATGCTCAAGAACGTGATAAGTTCTTGATGTCTATGATGACACACTGACCCAACAGTGAACATCTGTGTGGTTTCACTTTCAACCAATCAATGTAATTAAACAAAAACCAATTGTCAGTTCAGAGAACTGACTCAAATGTGACTTTAAGCTGCAAACTCCTCTTTTGCCGCGGTTCTTTCTGGCTGGGCTTTCATTGTGCATAAAAGCCAGGCATGAATGGATGGGGGCCACACAGTCAAATGCATGTCACGCAAGATGACTGGGAGTGATCAAATTGGTAACTTCACTGCAAAGTCTGGAAAAGTGTTCCACTCCTTGGTTGTAAAACTATTGAGATGGAAAAGTGGAACTTGGTTGCTGCTGGTCTTAGAGTGACAAAGGCCTTGTCAAGTCAATGGGGTCAGTTACTGGTCACTGGGTATATCTGTGAGGTAACGAATGACTTTTTTTCTACAGGTCATCTTAGCTTTTGTTTATTCAATCTTTTGGACTGCACCACTGTACGTGGCTATGGTGAGGATAAGAAAATAATAACAGAGTACAGCAACTTGATATGACCTGTTTGAAGATTTGAACACATACTAGGAGAAGTCATTTCCATGAAGATTCCAAGTCATTTATCAAATAGCTGGAGTTGCCT